TGCCTTATACAAATCTCTGTTTAAACACTTCAGTTAAGTGGTGACGGGGCTGCTCATATTTAGAGCATATAAAATGTTTGATTCCATCATGTGGGAACAGGAACAACGACTTTAGAAGACTTAATCAGACCGCAAGCGCTGGAAGCGGCAAAAACCACTTGCTGCTTCATTTCTGATGCTTGTACAACTTTAGTTCTGACACGCAGCTGAAGCATCGTGCTGCTCTGGCTGCGTGGTGGAAAAGTGGGTCTGATGCGAGTTGGGAGGAGCTACGCTATCCCTTCTTTGTTGTAACAATGGCGGATGAAATCGAAAGAGTTGCTTGGCTTATTTTAATGAATAATGCTATGTTCAGATTGTAAGGGCTTTTCTCCACAAGCTCCTGTTTTATTAAACTTGATATAATTACTGCTCTAAATGGGTCGCTCTGTCAGCCAAAGGCATGTGTTAAAGTCTCTATACTCCAGTTGACTCCATTTATCGGTTACTAAATTAGTTGACGATTATTTCAATAATCGATTAATCTGATTAATTGTTTCAGCCCTTGCTGAAAGTCTTGACGTTTTCAAAGGCCTGTCTTTCTTGTATATGTTTCCAGGCTCAGCGCTTATTGTAACCCTTCCTTTTGAGGTCCTTTATATTTTCTGATTTTTGGGACGCAACAAAAAAGGCCTTTTTTTTCTCTGAACACAACCTTTATTGAAAATTAAACAACCATTGCAATCTCGGGGAGAAAATGTGAAAATCCTTGATGGTCCCGCTGCTGTTTTGTGGTCAGTGATAAAGTGAAGTTAAAAGAGAGCAATAATTTCTCTCTATGTCGCATCATCATTTATACCAGCATTTAGTCTTGAGGTGTTTAAAACAAACAACCTATTGAATTTCCAGGATGTTTTTCTGGATAATCTTTGCCTCCAGAAACACTTTGATTGTGACATTCTTTCCCACTGAAATTTTTAAAGGGACAGCTGTAGCAGGCAGAAAGAATCGGTGACCTTTCAATAAGCAGTAGGTATACAGCTTACTTTGGCCTCTAAACTGTGGCGTCCCTAAAAACAACATAAAAGACTCTTACAGCGCTCTCATCACTGTAAAGCACTTCCTTGGTTTAAAAAAAGACGACAAAATGGCAAACATGTTTCTGCATTTTATCTGAAGGCTTTTGAACAATTTTAAAGTGGATCAACTACACAATGTATTTTTCTTTTACAGCGAAGGCCTTCAATCAAGTCAAGCTAAATCTGATAGATGTGGCTTTATGGTTATGTATGGATAAAGGCGTATTTCCAGGCTAATATAAAACAATGTAATGTAGGGGAAGAAAAAAGGAGAAGCCATGGGAGCAAACATGCTGCAGTTAATGCTATATTTGTTCCAGACGACAACCCATTAAGATGTCTCCTCAGGCTTCTTTTTAATAGGGAAAAAGTAAATGAAAGATCGCTGTGGCCACCCTGACTGTAGTTGTCTAATTTTTGTCAGACCTTTGTATTTACTGTTGGAATATGAGAATGATTATACACTTTACCCCCTTTTCATCATTTCCTTTCCATAGACAAGTCCAGCGCATCGAAGAGCTTCACCTCCAGCAGTTCTGTAGAGGACTCCCCCCACCCAGCCTCTTCTAAGGTAAATGGTTTTTCATATACATTCCTTACGGGTTTATATATGTATATAGCATTAGGAAAAAGTTTTAATCCACCCCTAAAGGAAAGAGAGACTCATGATTAATAATAATATTAATAATAATTGAACATTATTGATCTCACCTTGGAGAAATTTACCTCTGCATTTAACCCATCCCCTTGGGTAGCAGTGGGCTGCCATTGTGGGGCGCTGGGGAGCAATCGGGGTATAAAGGTCTGTCTTAGAGACCCAGAGTGGCAGTCTGTGGGAGTGGGTTTTGAACTAAAAACCTCAGGATTCCAAGCCTTATGCTCTAATCACTAGGCCACCACTCCCCCATTACTAGGGGTGTAAATAATAATCGTTTTGTATCGATGCATCGATCCAACAGCCGATGATCTGATGCATCGATACACTTGCAAGAGTATCGATTATACTTTTTTTTTTTATTTCCTCCGGTGTATTTTATACGTTTGCTCCTGGACGTAATTCTCCCTCCCGTGCTGCGGTGGCGCTAAACCTATTTTGCGCTCCAACCTCGCTTCCTGATTATACTCCTGCAGCAGTGTGTTGCAGTGAGCTTGACACAGACATTTTGATTTCTGCTCAGTATGGAAGCGTGGTCTGTGCTACACACTGTGGGTCTAGATAAGGCCGAGGCGGCGAGTTTAGTCCGACGACGGAGGGACATGAGGGCCAAAAAGAGCGGAGATCCAGGTG